CTGTGATCAGTGTGGAAAAGGATTCATGTACCCTTCTGACCTTGCCCAACATGAATGCACTCATTCTAGAAAAAAGTTACTGAGAGGCAAGTGCATCAAACTCAACAAATAGTACTCACGTAGCCAATGAAAAAAAAGCTTCCAATGGCCTTCTCAATCTGCCCAACGTGAACACACTCATTCAAGAAATAAATTTGTGAGAGGCAGGCGTACCAAGCTCAAATCCTGTATCTGTGATCAGTATGGAAAAGGCTTTATGTATCCTGATCTTGCCTGACATGAATACACTCATTCTCCTTAGAGCTGCTCGGAGCATCCAGAAGTGGGTGGTGCTTTAGTCTCTGCTGTTGTAGGCTGAGCTTAATTTTGAGGAACGCTCCTCCTTCCACCACGTGACTCCACCATAGCGTTGCCCAGTTTATGCTCAGCCTTGTGCAGACTAGGCAGTGATTCGAAGTTCTCTTGGCCGTTTCAAGAAATCCTTAGTTTGACTCATTGTTTTTGCTCCTCTCAGGTTGTATTTTTGTTTCTTTATTCCTCTTAGCCCTGCACATTTGGTCTGGACTGCCAAATTCCCCTGGGAAGCGTTTTCCTAGCCCCAGTGGGTGACAGGGGGAAGTCTAGCAGTGTCTCCACGCTACCACCCCCATTCCTTCTTTGTTGCCTCCCTGCCGTTTTCCTTTTTTTCTGATCTCTTCTAACGATTTGATTTAATTCGCTCCGATTCGTTCCGTTTCCCCCCCCCCCACCGAACACCGTTTTTTTCCTCCGGAAGAGTTGTTTGCCTCTTCCTTTCCTGTCCTCTTCTTTGCGGACCTTGGATTGTCCCTGGGGAGGTTTTTTCTTGCCGCTGCTGAGAGGCCCCGTAATTCCACGTTGCAGGCCGCCATTTTAAGCGCCACCTCGTGGTTGGGCGCCATTTTGTTTATCTCGATCCGAACGCTGCGGTGTGATTCCAGCTCAAGCAGCAGGACCCGCAGGCCTGCTCAGAGCCAAAAATTAGTTTCTTGCTCCAGCCTTGTTTGCTTTGGAGATAACTCTGCTTGTTGGCTTTTCCCGCAGCCTGCCTTAGCTGGCGCAGCAAATACAGCACCACTTCCGCCCAGTTCCACCTGGGAAGGCAGTTGGTATAGGCCTAGCTTTCTCTACAAGGCCTCTGGCGTTCATTGGTCGATTGGACCGGTTTTTTTCTATATATTTTATTTTGCATTAAAAAATAAATAAATAAATAAATAAATAAAGGAAAATAATAGAAAGAGGAAATAATATTTATAACAATAATAAGTAAGGGGGGGGGGGGTAATAAGAAGTAAAAAGGGGGGGCATGAAAGAATTTTTTCAGGGCTCCCGGCCTTCTTGTAGGTCGACCCCTAGGTGTGCCAACCGCCTCATATTGATCCTTATCTTACTCAATTATCTTTGAAATGGCAGAAGGCAATCCTTCCAGAGGCCCTTCTTTGAAGGCCAAATCTAAAACCCACCATCTGTGCAGGCAGGCTAAGGATACCCCCAAAGCCTCCCAGAGGGACGCCTTAAGACGCCACAAGGCGCTGGAAAAAGAAATCGATAGACGCACCAGGCAGACAGGCTCATTGCCTCCCGTACTACCACCTTCCACTTCTACCTCTACTCAACCCCCCCTCCTTTAGTCTATTCCTCCCTATCCAGGCGCAGCTCGCCCTCTCAGGGTCACCAGGCTCCTGGAACACCGGCCAGACGAACACCAGAGGCTACCTTCACACCCACAGCTGCTGGCCTACACCAGGAGGAACCACTCATACAGGAGGTTCTGGAGCAACTGAGATCCTGGATGGAGTTGGCTATCCGCCAAGGAATCGCGGAAGGACTCCAACAGATAGTTAGGCCAGCTCAAGAAATCACATATTTATAATCAATGTGGAAAAGGTTTCCAATAGCCTTCTGACCTTGTCTGACATGAACACTCATTTTAGAGAAATGTCACATAGAAATAAATACATGAAGCTTCAAAAGCTGTTTGCATGTACTGTATTTGGTGTGGAAAGATCTTCCAGCGGTTTTTCTCCCTTTGTTCAACTTAAATGCTCTCATTCTGAGAAAATGATGACTAGAAGCAAATGCACCAAACTCTGGAAGCTGCACATCTGTTGTGAAAGTGGAAACAGCTTCCAGTGGCCTAAGCTTGCAGAACATCAGCATGTTCATTCCAGAAAAAAAATTAAGGCAGAAATGTATCAAACTGAAGAAATTATGTACAGTTACAGTTACATTGGGAAACTCACAAGGTGGCCTGACTTTGTCCTGTATATTCATGTTTATTTCAAAATAAAATTAATGAAAGGCAAACATACCAAAGTTTCTGGTGTCTGTCTTTTCCAGACATGATAGGATTCACTCTAAAAAAAATGTTATCCAGTGCCAAATGTATTAAGTTCGAGAAATCATCTATTAGTCATCACTGTGAAAAAAATCTCCAGTGGCTGCCTGAGCTTTCTAACAATGAATCTATCAGATTCATTCCAGGAAAAAGTAATTAAAAAGGTTTAGCCTGCCCACTTGCTTCAGCAGAAGGGGATTGCTGCAGACCCTATCAAGGGAATTTTGCTGGTAGAATTTTGAGGAGAAGAGCCTTTTCTATTGTGAGTCCCACCCTCTGACCTTCCAGAAGGGCCTTAAAATCTGGTTTTGCCAGCTGTAGGTAAATCTCCTCTTTGCTGGAGGAGATTGACCCGTAAGAAAAAGACCTCATCCCATTGGTTTTAGTTCTTATTTAGTTTTTAAATTATGTTTTTAATTTTAAAATAGATCAAAAAATTAATTTTTAAATCTTAATTTTAAAGTGCCATGGTGGTGCAGTGATTAAATGCAGCATCGCAGGCTAACTCTGCTGACTGCCAGGAGTTCTATCCTCTCTGGCTCAAGGTTGATTCAGCCTTCCGTCCTTCTGGAGTCAGTAAATGAGGACCCAGACTGTTGGGGGCAATCTGCTGATTAAACCATTTAAAGAGGGCTTAAAGCACTATAAAGTGGCATATAATTTTAAGCGCTATTGCTTTTGCTAATTTTAACTTTTATCTTTATCTTTATCTTTATCTTTTTATTGTTTTATAAACTGTCCTCTTAACGCTTTTGTTGAGATGGGCAGCATATAAGTTTATTAAGTAAGGCAGAAATGCTTCAAGCTCAAGGTTCCAATGATTCCAATGGAAAAAGGTTCCACACATATGGTTCCAATGGAAAAAGCATTCCACTGGCATCCTGACCTTGTCTAATAGAAATGCAATCTTTAAGTATGTCTTTTGACTTCGCTATTTGAGTAAACATGTTCATTTTACATACATGGAGTGCAGACTTAAATTATGCCATTTGCGGGTACTCATGTTTTGTGTACTCTGGTACTCTGAAGCAAAAAAAGCTGATAAGAAAAGCCATGTAGTAGAAAGAAGGTAGTCAAATAACAAAAATGCATAGGGAAAACAACATCTCTGTGTGCTGTTTTTCCATACCAAGTTCTGGATAGCATTGTAAAGCTTATGCTCATCTAACAGCTTGTGAAAGAGGAGGATGTCCTACTACAGATGTTGAGCATTGTAATCTGCCTCTCCCAAATAGGATTTATAAAATTATATTCACAGGACTTGCTTCTGATTTATCTCTGATTCAAAAATAGGTACTTTATTTGTCTCCTTTTTGTTTTAACTTCACAATCAGCAGCAGATTTGAAATCTATACTAAAAATTTTTGAGTGTCAAAATTAAACCTGTGATCCTGTGTCACAAGTGGAAGGATCTAATGAATGTTATGAAGGATGATGCTTCATTCACCACTTCACAGTTAATCCTAATTTTGGACCAAAGAATTCCAAGTGACCTCATTATCCAAGTTGTTAGGTTCACCAAGCATTCCAATTTGTGAGAAGAGCAGGCTACCTGCTCATCCCAGGTGATTCAATAATCCTTTAGTGATTGAGCACCTATGTAAACACCGGATAGAGAACCATCATTCCAGGTTTAAAAATCAATTGATCTAGCATTTCTACTTATCCAGGCATCATTAGATTTATAAATTAGCATTTTTTCATGCAATTTTAATATCTGTACATGCATTCATGGTTCATATATCACGTTTGTCCTGTCTTAATTCTTTGCAAGCATCAAGACCAGTAAACCAAATACCTGGACTTTCAGATCCTGTGCTCTAGATCAGTGATCCCCAACCTTTCTTATGCCGCGGCCCGGTATCCCCAACCTTTTTTATGGCGCGGCCCGGTACCGGCATTAGCTGGGCGCCGCCATCTTTTTTTGATGAAAAAGTGCTTCCGGTGAGCTTTCTACCCGGAAAAGCTCACCGGAAGCACTTTTTCATCAAAAAAAGATGGCGGCACCCAGCAAACCAGCGGCCCGGTAGGACTTGTTCCACGGACCGGTACCGGTCCGCGGACCGGTGTTTGGGGACCCCTGCTCTAGATGGTTGAGAAAAAATTGTGGTTGAGAAACCAATCCACAAGCTCAGAGAATGAACCTTCACCTGACTTTCACCCTCAGATTACCAAAATTCTCAGGATATTTAGAGAGCATCAGATACTGTAGTAGCAAATTGCATCCACTACTTTTGAAATAAATTCTGTAGTAAGAATGACATTTGGATGTAGTTCGGTATGGCATTTTTCAAAATGGATTGCAGATAAGTCATGCTCTATTTGCTTTTCAGAGAAAGAGTAGGGTACTTCTGAAATACAACTTCCTACTCAGTATTAGAAGAAAGAAGTTTTTGGAATGCTTTTATGAAATCCAAGTTTTGAATGATAGTTCTTCACTAGATAGACATGCCAGAACTTAAAACTTATTTTTAAAAAAGGTCAACACTCTCTGTATGATATAATCCTTGAGATTATGATCATGAAGAATTTTACTGATATAGGCATGACATTGTGCAGTGCATCACTGAGCTGCCTGTTACTGCTGCTTTAAACACAAGCATCTTCTTTCCACAAAGTTTCATTTCTTGATGGGAAATTGAAAGTTTACATTAATAATGACATCATAGGCAAACTACAAGGTCATAATCAAGGTTCAAATTATATGTGTAGATGGCTTTCAGGCAATGTATAAAGAGGACTTAATGGGGTTGCACTTTCTGCAGTGTAAGAAAAACTCTGTTAATAGCTACAGTAACAGGAAAATAGGTCATAGGTGGTGAGAATTATGCTTTGGTATTTGATTAAACTAGATGTGTGCTTTTCAAACTTAGCGACATTAAAATGTGTGGACTTCAACTCCCAGAATTCTCTAGCCAGCCATGATTGGAGCTTAAAGCCAATTTGCTAGGTTTGAAAAAAAAACACTGGATCAATGATTTTTGAGGTCACTTCCAACCTTAAGCTATAGATATCAGGATAAATCATCCCCAAACTTAAAATGTGCATACTTTTGAAATGCAATATTTTTAAAAATTGTAATGTTATTTTAAGAATGAGATTTCAAATGAACTGCTTAGTTGTGTCCTTCCTAAGCAATGCATTGGAAGCTGGATAATTGCCAATTCATCAAAGATTACCAGCAGCCAGTAAAGGTGCACCTTTCATGAAAAGTGTAAAACTCATCATTGTGATCCAACATTTATGTTTTCCCTTATAAAGCTATGCAGCTATAATAGAAATGCCCTCAGATAGTGGAACACTATCTTAACAATATAATTGATATTCTTGACTTGAGGATTGTCTTCAGCTCCCATTAATTCCTTCTAGCATGGAGCCCTGGGTTGTCTTTTCAAAGGTGTTGCACTCTTTTCCCCATTTGGCACAGTTTTAGGTCCTCTTCTAAAGACATCATGTCACCTTCACTCTTGCAGAAGGAATGTCAGAACTGGAAAACGCTTTCCTTAGATTTGCTGCATATGGAAACACAGCTACTCACAGGAACACCATGTCTGGGAAGAACTTCTACAAGATGTTGAAGGAATGTGGTGTGATGGATGGGAAAGTTGTGACCAACACTGATGTGCTCATTGCCTTCAATGAAGTCAAGTGAGCTTGGAATGATAATGGTGGGAACATTGCAAACAAGCTTGCAGGGACTACTGAAAATACTAAGATTACTTACTAATTGTTTACAGCAGGCTCTGTTTAGCCCCAAATACTGTTTTCTGCACCCACAAATCATTCTAAGAAGATGTCTTGCCTGCATTTGCCATAACCTTTTTGTGTCATGAACAAAAAGTTGAAAAATATAAAGTCCTCAAAAAGATGCCTTCTTTTTTATTTCCTTTAAAGAAGAAAGCCAATTCTTTTTCCATATTTTTTTATAAATTCTTTTTCCTTCAAAATTGAATTATTCAAAGTCCATCTTGACCTTTTCTTTTGTCCCTTCCATTTAACCCATATTAGTCTGCCCAAGTATTTGTTTCAATGTTTATTTCTTGTACATTTAAAATTAATTCAAGTGACATCCAAATCGTATCTATTCTTGACCATGATAAGTATCTATTTGAGTAAAATGTATATTGTCTATTGATGTTTATTTCTCTCCATACGTCTTGAATACTTAGTTCCTCTGCCATCTTAAAAAAAGATTTTGGCAGTGTCTTTCTATTCTTTTAATTTATCTTCTGTATTTTGTAGCCCAACTCTGTCTACTATAGCATTAAAATTTCCTTAAATACATATACTGTCATATTTCAATTCTATTATTTTTTTGTGTAATTTTTATAAAACTCTTCTTGTTTCTCATTTGGTGCATCTATTGCTATTAAGAGTATTTTTTGATTATTGTCTATTATTTTCACCATCAATATCCTCCCTTCTTCATCTGTGAAAATTAATTTAGCTTTTATTGTATTAATATATAAGGCTACTCTTTTGTTATGCCAATGATGCATATACATTCTCAATTCTAGGATAATCCGGAACTTGAACATATTGTTTTTTAATATATACTTCTTGCAGACAGATTATATCTAATTTTAATTTTTCTAACTTATGAAAAGTCTTTTTTCTTTTGACAGCAGAATTCAATCCATTTATATTTATTGATATTAGCTTCTTTTCTTCATCCATTATTTAAACGTTATATGTAGGGTTTATTGCTCTCATTGCTCTTTGCTCTCTTGCCTCTTTTGGTTCCACCCTGCCACCCTGTTGCTCCTTCTTCTCGTATTCTTTCTTCTCTTTTTTCTTTATCCCTTCAGCCATCTCCTTTCAAAGTTTAATTATTTCCTCTTTTCTTGTTCTTCGTTTCCTCTAAAGTATTCATCATAAAATTGCTCTGCTTTCTCTACTGAATCCAATCTGTTTCTTTGTTCTTGCCAAATAAACATCAAGCCTTCTGGAATCAACTATCTATAATTCA